GAATTTCTGCATTTTTAGTACAGACCCCAGGAACCAGCACTCTGAATCTTGCTGACTAAATCTGCCTCACCAACATAAATAGGGTTTGACGCATTCCTTGTCACCTTGAACCTGCTAACGTGCTTTTGACTCTACCTCTGGATTGTGCTCTCACTGGGGGATGCACAAATAATTGTTGTCACAAGCAAGTGCCCAGGGGTATAGAGTGCCCCTCCCTTAGATGGACGGGCAAAGTGCTCATCCATGAAACTGCTTGTAGTTTGAGCTGCTCGTTCAGATGGTCACGTGCACTCTTGGACATGTAAAGTGAATTCTTTCTGGGTCCGTGAGAGTACGCCCCCTTTCCGGAAGCTGTCTCCGTGTGAGATTGCAGCACCTCCGCTGCTCCAGACTCGGGCCTCCCAGCAAAGCCAGACTCCAACAGTGGCCGTATGGCTTTCCAGAGCAGCTCAGTTCTTCCCACCTCCACCTTCAGTGATGTCGTGTGCGTAGATTGAAATGTGCTGGGGTTGTTAGTTACTATTGAGTTAGCTCTGGCTCATGGCTACCTCAAGTACAACCGGCTGAAACATGGCCTCGTCCTGTTCCGTCGTCATGAAAGCTGTTTGAGTGCTGCAGTTACACCCTGAAAGCAATAAGCACTAAGAACTTCTCTCTTCCAGAAAGTGCCCCACAGTCCAGCACGTTTTTTCTCATCCATCTTCCTACTTTGTTCTAGATTAGCCCACGAGCCACAGCCTGTCTCTCCAACTTTCCATTCCCTCTTTGTTGACCCCCTGAAATGACACCTCCCTAGACCCACCGAGCCAACCAGCTCTTAAAATTCTCTCTTGGTCCGTGGCTCTCCACACAGACCCTTCAGACAAACAGGACCCTGCTCTGGTGACCACAGGGAGGCAGACCCCCATGCCCAAGTTGGCCACGTATGTGCATGTGGGGGTTGCTGCTGCTGCCCCGTCCCCACCCCCACCCCTCTGGCCGTTGCAGCTATGGAAGAGTTTATCATCATCGCCTGCATTGTCCCTTGCACTGGCCCCTTTCTTCTGGCCCCACCCTTGACCCCTGAGGTTTGCTTCTGGGCATGGAGGTAGGTACTTTGGGTTTGATCTAGTAAGTGCTTCTTAGGCACCTTTCAAAACAGGTCAGGGATCTCCCAAAATAAGGCTGGGGCAGAAAGTGCCTCAGTGTTAGCGCCAAAACAGAGACCCATGGACAGGGTCAAATGTGGCTTGATTGTGCCAGTCCTGAATCCCAGGTGGTATTCATCATCTCTTGGTAAGGATCCTGCAGCGACGTCCTTGAGTCCACAATAGTTTTTTTCTTTACATAACTAGAGGAAGAACTTGTCCCTGGAGAAAAAATCAGGGAGCCACGATTGAATGAGGAGAGAGAGAAATGCTAGGCAGTTACCAAACTAGATGTTTCCAACAGCATGAGACAGAGCAAGATCAGGCCTCACACCCAAGTCTTAAAGCAAAGGCTCAACCAGGGCAGGATTACAAGAAAGCTTACTTGTATTTTATGGACTATGCCATGGTATTTTATTTTGAGGATCATAACAAACTATGAGTAACCTTGAGAAGAACGGAGATTTCAGAACATTTCATTGTCCTCATGTGGAACTTGCACATGGATCAAGAAGAGGCACTTGTGTGAGTGAAACAAGAGAATATCGTATGGTTTGGAATCAGAAAAGGTGTGTGTCAGGGTTGTAACCTCTCATCATATTTATTTTATTTGTATGTTAACCAAATAATCAGAGAAGCTGGTTATAGGAAGAAGAGTTCTGCCTCAGGGTTGGAGGAAGGCTTATTAACAACCTGCAATATGCAGATGACACAACCGTCCTTGCTGAAAGTGAGGAGAACTTGAAACGCTTGCTGATGAAGATCAGGGATTACAGCCTTCACATTGTGGCTTACAAGTCAATGTAAAGAAGATGCAAATCCTCACAACTGGACCACTAGGTAGCATCATCATAAATGGAGCAAAGATTGAGGTTTTCAAGGACTTCATCTTACTTGGATCCAGAAGAAATCAAATGGCATGTTGCGTTGGTAAATCTGCTGCACAGGATTTCTTTTAGATTATCGAATAGCAACGGTGTTACTTTGAGGACTCAGGTGAGCCTCATGTGCATATTTTCCATTGCCTCCTATGCATGTGACAGTTGGACGCCGAGTAAGGAAGCCTGGAGATGAACTGGTGCACTTTAATTGTGGTTCTGGAAAAGAATATTGAAAGTACCGTGAGCTGCTAAAGGACAAACAAACAAACAAACAAGTGCCGGAGTACTGCTCAGAGGCGAAGCCTCTGTCTTACAGTCGGACGTGTTGACAGGAGAGGCCAGTCCTTGGGGAAGGACGTCGTCTTTGTTACAGCAGAGGGCAGTGAGAAGGAAGCAGCCCTCAGCAAGACGTGTGGACAGTGGCTGCAGCAGTGGACGCAAACACAGGAACAAGGGAGAGGATGCTGTTTCATTCTGTTGTGCATCGAACCACTGTGGGTCAGCCCTAATGATGACAGCAATTACAGTTTTTAAAGGACCCCTAGTTTTATCTGTCCACTACTTCCTTCTTTCCATTCCTGTCAGTTTGTCATTTTTTGGTGACTTGTATGTTACTTTGTTGCTGGAAGCCACCAGTATTTCAAAATACCAGCAGGGCCTGCCAGGATAGACAGGTTTCAAAAAGGTTTAGAGACTAGGAAAAAGGTGCTGAGAATACACCTCTGAAAATTAACCAATGAAAACCCTCTGGCTCCCAACAGAATTTTACTTAATATAGTGCTAGAGATGAGCACCCCGTCTTTCAGATTGGAAGGCACTCAAAATCTACAATGGCTGCAACAATCGATTCACACATGTCAATGATCAGAAATGGTGTCATGCTGGGCAACGATTCTTTCTGTTCTTTGAGGGTAAGTCAAAAGTGTTGCCATTATGGTTCCAGTTCATGTATGTGTGGGTTTATTCTGGACAAAACATGTTTGGACGTGTATTTGCCATCAGTGGATGGCTGAAAACAAGTTCTATCAGTAATATCCTGTTGTCATCTCATTGGAGTGCCTTCAAAAGAGAGAGGGGGGTGGGGGTTGGGGGGAGATGGAGAGTTCCAATCAATCAAAACAGTAGCTTTTGAGAAGCCAGTTCAGATCCAGACAGAGAGATCCGATCAGAATGTTAGGGAGACTGTTTAGGGGCACTCCAGGGGAGTTATTTTTCTCCAAGGGCATGGAGTAATCACAGAGGTTTATTAAAAAGAAGTTTTAAGAAATGCAAAAACTGCACTGGTGAGTAAAACGTCCAGGAAAGTTGAGCCAAATATATATACATATATATATTTGTATCTCTATAATGCATATACTCATTTTTCTTGGCCAACCTTAGCCCATCAATCCCACAGACTCAATCTTGCCACTTCAGACTTCTTTTGTTCCCCAAACTCAAGTCACTTCAAAGGAACATAAGTTGAGCCCCTCAAGGATGCCCACATGGCCACGTTAACCTGATGGAAATCAGAGTCCTCAGGATAAAGGCACTGCTGTCAGAGGTAACAGACCTAGATGGAGGACATGGAGAGAAACAATAGCTTCATATTTTGATGTTTGTCCAAGAAAGTCAGAGCTGATTTATTTAAACAGAAATAGAATAAAGGATTATCTGACTTTGTTGATGTTAACTTAGTGGCGTTCTAAAGTGACCAAGAGTAACTGTGTGTATCAGGGGGCCAAGTTCATGAGCATTATGGGCGATGGATGGGGGAGACCCTGGGAATCTCCTTTTCTGATATGACATAAAGACTTGGTCTCAAGTCTTGGATTTGTCATGTTACCTTTTCCTAAATGTAACGTAGGCTCCAGTATTTTTTTTCTAAAAATAAAACCAAATTTTATGATAGTGCTGTCTTCATGAGAAGAAAATGAACTTCAAACCATGAAGAGGAGCAAAAATAAAATAAAAAACTAAGAGACTGCTCGACACTTTAGAGTTCAAGATCTATATGTATAATATCTGGTATGATAGGCCAAGTTTTTGCTCATAAGCAATCAGCACAATGCCGGTTCTGGAAGGCAGATGTAAAAGACCACATATTGTGTAATTTAATTTATATAAGAGCTTAGAGTAGCAAATCTAGAAAGACAAAGTAGATTAGTGGGAGTTTGGGGAGGGAAACAGAGAGTGACTGCAAATAGGTGAGGGATTTCCTTCTGAGGAAATGAAAATGTTCTGCAATTGATTATGATCATGGCAGCACAACTCAGAATTGTACATACTTACGTGAATCGTATCGTATGTAATTTTGACCTCAATAATGCTATTGTTTTTTAAAAGAAAATCAAATCTTGGTTCCGTCTACCTCAACATGTGCTCACCCGGGGTGAATGTATGCGTGAGCAAACCTATAAGCCCCCGCCCCACCTTGTGGTCTCTGTGGGAGCAAGCCCCACCATTCTGGGTGCTCCACTGACCAACATCTGCTGAGCATCCCTGTGGCATCTGTGGGGCCACTCAGATGTGAAAACACAAATGTCTAATAAAATAGCACCTGCTCTTTGAAGAGAGATCTACTCGGCTAGCACAGGAGTATCTTAGATGTTTCTGTTGGGCTGCCTGCCTTAATAAGCCCCAAGTCCATATGAAGCATATCTATTTTGACACACATGAGATCACCATGGGTCAGAATCAACTGAATGACACCAGAAGAAGAAAAAAGATACTGCAAAACGAACTGATGTTTGTTTTGAACACATTAAATTCATCAGGCAGAAAGTAATATTTAATTGGTCTGTGGCTGTTTCCATTCTCTGCACCTCTTCCCATACTTCTATCTGGACTACCTTTGAGACAAGAAGCCCCAGATAAACAGTATGATGATCATTACAGTCCTACCCTGGAGGACCCTATTCATCTTAAACGCTCCTCCACTCACGAATCCCAGATGCCCTGTAAGAAAGGCCACGTTCCCCCCTTACCCCATCCTCTTTGCTTTTAATTCTAGCTCTTAAAGACTCCAGTAAGAGATCCATCAACAGTGACTGGAAGATCGAGCTCCCTGGAGAGTTTCAGATAGCTGGCACGACTGTCCGCTACGTTAGAAGGGGCCTGTGGGAAAAAATCTCTGCCAAGGGACCAACCACAGTCCCGCTGCATCTGATGGTAAGTACGTGCGCTCTGCTTGTCGTAGGAGAGATTATTCCCAGAATGTCTCCTTCTCCTGGGGCCTTGGGATGGGACATAAAACATGTGGTCTAGTTTCTGGCATTTCATAGGGCTACTTCTTGCTTAGTCCTTACTCTTAGCCAGTATGTTGTTGTTGTTGTTTGTTTTTCTAATTCCCTGCACCACATGCTTCAGAATTCTCTCTCGATCCTTCCCTGTGGCTCTTGGCTGGCAAAGCTCTCATCTTGTTCAGAAGGAACTGGCCCAGAAGGGAATGTTTCACCATGTGGCAGCCAGGGAGACATAGACCCGTTAACAGGCAGCCCTGCTCCAAGCCTGCATTTTTATATCAGACGGTAGAATGTGTAAATATCCCCACAAGGGGTGCCTCTGCATTAGAAACTACACCTTTTTGGAAATGAATTGTTGACTATTTCTAAACCAACATCTCTCAACTTTTCTAGACATGGCTTGCAACCGGCATTTGGAAATCAGAAGAAAGAACCAGGTTCTCAATGAGTATTTACTTCCTCTAGAAAAGTGATCCGGCCAAGTCCAAACTCCTTTATCTCAACTGTTGTCTTAGGAGACCCTAGGAGGCACAAATGGTTAAGCACTTGACTGCTAACTGAGAGCTTCTCAGTTCAAAGCCACTCTGAGGTGCTGCAGAATAAAGATCTGGCAATCTGCTTTCAAACTAAGGAGCCCAATTCTACTCTGCAACTTAAAGGGTCACCATGAGTAACAACTGACTCCATGGCAACTGTTTAAGTTTGGATTTTGTCTCAAGGGGAATTCTGTACAAACCAAGTAAGCAACAGATAGTACATTCTTGTTTTAAAATCATTTTATTAGCTTTTGCATCTGTCATCAAAGCACATTTTGTCCTCAAGACTGGCCAGTATCTCGACTTGGAAGCCCTTTCCCGTATTAATTATTGTTTCCAGAACCTTTAGCCATTCACACCTAACAGCAGGGGTCCTCAAACTGCGGCCTGCGGGCCACATACAGGCCACCAAGGACATTTATCTGACCTGCCGGGTGTTTTTGCCCCGTTTGTTTTTTACTTCAAAATAAGATACGTGCAGTGTGCATAGGAATTTGTTCATAGTTGTTTTTTTAACTATAGTCTGGCCTCCAACGGGTCTGAGGGGGCAGTGAACTGGCCCCCTGTTTAACAAGTGTGAGGACCCCTGCCTAAAAGTCTCTCTGGCCACTCCCAGGAAACCTTTAGTGCAGAGACTGGCTTTGCCTGTGAGCACAGCCAGCGCCCATCACCGATGATCGGAGGCGGTCTCACGACGGTGCCGATCCCGCAGCAATCTCTGAGGAGAGCCCAGCAAAATGGTGCCCACGAGCAACACAAACCATCCAGGAATCCACCGATGCAGTATGCACTGAAGTCGGAAGTCCACTGCACACCTGTTCTGGCAAGTTTATTTCTGGGATCAAGGGCATGTGCCACAGCATGGGATAAGACTGTTTTCTAAACTGGTTGCTGTCAAATCAACCTTGGCTCATGGCAATCCTATGTGTGTCAGGGGAGAGCAGTACCCCTGAATTTCCAGTGGCTGTGATTTAGAAGTCAGTCTCCAAGACTTCCTTTCAGAGGTGCCTGTGGCTAGACTTGAACCTCCAGTCTTTCAGTTAGCAGCCAAGGACGTTGTGCCACCCCAAAGTCTTCACGGTTAGGGCAGAGCCGTTGGTTCTGATTTAAAGTAGTTATTCTGGGGACGAAACGAGGAAACAAAAGACAAAACCTATAAAGAAGCATCAACTCCCTACATGTGAATTTGGTTTTGGCTGGTAAATAACAAGGTGGGTTTGTTTTCTTTCTTCCCCACCCCACATCCCTCAAAAACACTTCTCAGCTGAGCAAAACAGCCTATTACAGCAGCTATCGAGACTGGATGCATTAGAATTCTGATCAACAAAGCCCAGAGGAAGCAAGAGCCATAGTTCCAGTGCTCATTTAATAATCCTCATCTTTCCCTCTTGAAATAGCATTGGTGCTTCGCATTTTTAAACCTAGAAACGAGAGGGAGGGTGCTCTTCTGTCTCTAAATAGAAAGCCATTTCTCCCACACTGGGGCTCAGAGGTTGCTGGCAGTCAGGAGCACCAGGAAAGCTACGGAGGTCTACATTTGAAACCAATTACCTGCAACGCACAAACACAAATGCTATGTGGCTCTGAAATTGGTTTCACATGGACTCTTGATTCGCCAGCCCCAGTCCCATACTGAGACAATCAAGTTCTCTTTCAAAGCAGGTTTGTGTTGTTTTGTTTTCTGGCTGGAGGCATTTTTCCAAATGTGTTACTGCAAGTGTATTTCCTAAAGAAGTGGCTCCTCATCCCTTTGGGTCGGCTCTTGGGCCCCTGCGCGCACACAGCAACGCCACATCCTGGGGGCTCAGCTCCCTTTCTTTCGGACTTTCCGCTTGGCCTGCCCTGCACACTCCACCTCTAGCTCCTGCTGGCTCTTCCTTCCAGACCTCCTGGGCGGGGAATTATTTGCCAGCTGCTTAGACCCAGGGGAAGAACCCTGGCAGCGTAGTGCTCACACATTGGAGTGCTAAGCTCAAGGTTTGCGTTCTACCCTATCCTGCCGGGTCGCCAGGAGTCAAAATTGTCCTCAAGGACCGTGAGCTGGGGTGTTTTGGGTGGTGTTTTGTTTTGTTAGACCCAGGAATGCACACCTGTTAGCAGCTCGGCTAGAAGGCATGTGGCCCACCAGCAGACTCTTGTAAGCACTACAGAGGGCTTGTCCCGGCCCATTAGGCCAGCAGCACACCTGCTATCCATATAGGGCTGATTATATTACCCACGTGTGAGGCCCATCACTCCGCGTACACCATCGGGACTACAGATGACCCTGTACCCACTGCCTGCTTGAAGCTCTGGGCCAGGGCAAGGCACAGCCATCACCACAGCTCCCGTGACAGCAGGAAGAAGGCCATGCGCCCTTGGTAAGGTGGCCAGATTTTAACATTTGTAAAGCGGGACACCACTGATAAAACTCATATCCTGGCGAAATAGCTACATGGCAGCCGAAAACCTTATACCCTAGCTTGTTGTGCATTCTTTCCAAAAATAGGCTTTCTAAAAACACCGCGAGACATGGGAAAAATTGTTAAAAATCAGGACTGCCCCGCCAAAAGTGGGACGTCTGGTCAGCTTACCCTTGGGCTCCAAGCAGGCTCCCCCATGGATCCCTTTTGGTAGATGTACTTTGCCCGCAAGCTTGCTTTCCCTCATAATCTCTGGCCCCACCATCGCACAGCAGTGATTAAGTGGCAGGGTAGTGAAGGGTATGTTCATTTTTAGAGACATGGGATAATGCTGCCCACTCATACCTGTGTGGGTAAAGCAGTGTACCTATGTTTTCCTTGTCTGCAAAGGCGGGTGCTTGGGATAATATGTGAACCAGGTGCTTTTCGCTGGTAGAAAGCTCTCCAAGTAAATTACAATTAGAACTCTAGGTGCCTTTGAGCCAATGCTGCCTCATTATGACCCCACCCATAGAGTTTTCGATAACTGATTGGCTGTGACATTTACCCAAGCAGATAGCCAGGCCTTTGCTCTGCCGACCATTCGGTTACATAAGCCATTTGGCACCATCCAGGGACTTCAAAGCACAATTACAACACTTAAAGCTCTCCTCCCTGGTCAGAATTGGTCCTCTCTGTAGTAAGAAGCCAATGCATGCCTTTTCCCCAAGGGCTTCAAGGCTGAGATAAAGGCACAACCCTAGCTTGAGCCTACTTTGAAGTCCAAAAAGAGTGATGGCCTGTGATAGAGAAACAGCCACTGGGGGGCTTGGTTTGCAAAGTCAATAGCCCTGTGGACTTTCATGCAATTTCAAAATGCCCTTTTATTTTACTGCGGATCCAGGTGTTGTTATTTCATGACCAGAATTATGGAATTCATTACGAATACACGGTTCCCGTAAACTATACTGCAGAAAATGAAAGTGAACCAGAAAAGCCCCAGGACTCGCTGTTCATCTGGACCCACAGTGGCTGGGAAGGATGCAGCACGCAGTGTGGAGGAGGTGAGCAACTAGGGGGTGTTTCTGAGGGAAAAAGAACTGAGCTCAGGACCCCCAGGGCCAGCATGCCTGGGCCCTGGGGAAGGCAGGCTCACTAGCCCATATTGTACTTGGAACTCTGTCACATCCCACTGAAAGTCTTTCTGCATAACACTTGGACAGAGTCTTCCAGATCCCCACAGGCTGAGGTCATACCTGCACGGCTGCTTGGTTTGTGGCACAAGCCTCCTGGAATGGGGCATGGCTAGGCTGGGACTGCCCCGTGATGTGCCTGGCAGACCTTGGGAGAGTCTGGATCTTCACCTGAGGCCATTGATGTAGCAGTACCAGAGACACCCTGCCCCGTCATACTCTCCTTTGCTCCAGTAACCAGACTTTATGTTGCAACTAGAAGAATCTGGAGCCTGAGACCTGGTGGAGCCACAGTTTCCCACTGGATCTGAGCCAATGACTTACCCCCTCTCTCTCTCAGCCTACACTCACTCCCTCTAGATTCAGGTGACCATACTGTTTGCCTATTGCAGGTGGCAACATGGCGATCCAAGGGCCCTGTTATGCTGAAGAAAGCAATATGAACTAAAGATTTGTCAATGGATTTTGTGGTGAAATTAAGTTTGACCCTTAGCAGGGATTGTCAACATAGGAAGAGGTCACAGAAAGGATGGATTTTGTTGAGTACAAATTTGGGACAGAAGGCTAGCCTAGACCCTAGAATGCAACCCGGAAGACTGGGCTGCAGATGGGCGTTAGCATGACCCCACCCAGTTTCCATCCTGAGTAACTATTTACTACCAAGATGACACTTGTCAGCTATCTAATATAAGTACCTTGGCCCTATTCAAATGGAACTTATAGCCCCTGCATTATTGAGCCCATTAGGTATTGCCAAGGACTACTAAACTCCTTCCTCACCTGCTTATCTTGATAACTGTCCCTGTTTATCCCACTCTCTTTCTTAATAACTGTCCCTGTTTATCGCCACCACGCAGTCACATGGTGGTTAGCATACCGCAGATGCCACATCAGCCCACTGCCCTCTCTCACTCTGCATCTCTCCCTGGGACACAGTTTGAAGAACTAAATCAGAACCTGGGCTTCTATGACTCAGGTTGTCCAAGGACACAGCTGATCTGAGATAGCGCCACTTTCTGACCAGGCTCCAGTCTTTCTTCTGTCCCAGGACTTCCTTGCCCTGATCCATAAGATTACAGCTTTGATCGCTGACAACCAGTCACCTTAAGTAACCAACTGATCGAAATTGACACCTGAACTTTACTTCATAGTGTAAGTGGCCTTTCCAGGTTTGTGTAGCCCAGCCTCTCAGCTACCTGTGCTTTGGTTGTAGGGGAACGCCGAACCATTGTGTCTTGTACACGGATCATTAACAAGACCATGACCCTGGTGAATGATAGCGACTGCTCTCCAGCAAGCCGCCCCGAGCCCCAGGTCCGAAGGTGCAACTCACACCCATGCCAGTCACGGTAAGGAGATTGCTTCTATCTCGTATCTGGGAGGTGTAATTACAGCATCTCTCCCACAGTACTGTCCGATACCATGTTTTGAATTTTTCTGTCATTATTGTCCAGTGATTCCTGCTTGCTTAAAATATTGAAATTCTAGCTAATAAGCCAGAACCAATTGCCATAGACTTTATTCCAACTCATCATGCCCCATGCGTTTCAGACTAGGACTGTACTCTACAGAGTTTTCAATAGGTGGTCATTGCAGAAGTATATCACCAGACTTTTCTTCAGAGGTATTTATGGATGATTCCAAGCCATTTCCACCACCCAGCAACTCCTACTGAGGCAGAACTCTGATAGAAATGTGTAATCTATTGCAACAAAAAAATTTAGCCATCACCACACACAGCTCCCCAAACTACTCTGTCTTGGACAAAAAGGAAATGGTATAGTGTGAGCCCCTTAAGTAATTGTGTACACAAGTTTAGTATTTATAGATGACTAGTCTCGCTGTCTGAAATTAATACCAATGAGTAGAGAAGTTGGTGCTTATTGTTTGGAATCTATCAGAATTCCTGTTCCCGGTCCCAACTTTCATGCCGACGTTTGACGTGTCCTCTGAAGTGAATTCTCTAAGATTGTCAGCCAAGTTGAATTATATGGCATGTATTCATCAATGGTGTTTCTTTCCTTCTAGTAGTTTGAATGGGACTTTGCAAAGTTTCATGACTTTGCTGTATTGTGAAACATTACCCCTTGGCTTCTTGTTCTGATCTGATTTAAGATGAAAGGCTTTCATTCTGTAGTTCTGTGTGCCCTGCTTAGGCACACTTACCTTTGATATATAGGCTGATCTTTGGAAGTAGTAGTTACTGATATTTTAAGTCAAAGTGGGCCACTTATAACCACTTAATTTCCACAACAACCCTCTTTATTTTGCCAAGAGGGAAAGTAAGAAGCTAAAGTTTGTTTCATTTTAAATTTAATTCTACCATAATGCTAAAGGCTAGAAGACAAGTTCACTGGTGGGGGGTCTAGGCCATGTGGAATGTGAGCAGCTATCCCATGAACCCACCAAATCTTTGTCACTCACATATGGGCCCACAGTCCCTTCTCTGAAACTAGGAGGTTACAGACTAGCCCTTGTGCGGTGGATTAAAACCAGGATAGGGGAATCTAGAGGAGAAATCGGTGTGGATTTAAGGGCATGACTATAACTAACCTTGGAGAGCTATTCAAGATTCATACTTTAAAACACTAAGGGTTTTTAAACTGTTTTATTATAAAAAATACTTTTAAATTTTTGCACAGGCACACAGTTTAAGGAAAACACGAACTTGCAGCAGTTATGACAAAATTGAGTCACATGTATTGTGAGGAAGAGTCTACTCAACAACCCCCATACACCCACCACACACACACCCTGATCACAGTATACCCATGGCACCTCTGCAGAACTCCAAGGAATAAATTTTGAAAACTGGTGGTTAAAAGTACCCTATTCTCAACAATAATGGAAAAGCTTGTGTGGGTCCAAATCTCTTGCAGATAACTATTATGAATTTTGGGGAAAATATAACAGGCAGTTATTTGGAAGCTAGAGAGCAGGCAGAAACTAGAGAGGAGTGGGGAAATGGGAGAAGAGAATGGCATCCAGGTGAATTTCCCATTTTACAGCTTTTCAACTAAAAGGAAAGCCCAGATGAATCTTTGTAAAGTCACTAAAACTCAGAGAGTAATCCTGTCTTGTCTGGTGGAGCAGTCGGGAGAGGTTCAGGGTAATCACAACAGCTAGAATGATAAAGGGAAATCCCAGAAATGAGAGCTCACAGAGGAAGACCTTTTACATATCAATTTTATTCCAAATTCTGGAAATGACACGTCTTTGGGGCAGGTTTCACACAAAGAAGCTAAACTTGAAGAACAGAACTGAGATTTCAGCGGCTGGCCATCATAGGGGAGAGCGTCAGAAGCTTTAGTCCAACAAAGTTAGCTGCCTGCTAAAATAAACACATAATGTTTTCCGCAAATAATGCTCTTTAAGTGAACATTTAAATACTGTAGCCACTAAACCACCTCTCACCACCATCGCCCACTAAAAACACAAAACAAACACGTTGCTGTTGAGTGCATTCGGACTCACAGTGAGCCTGGAAGACAGAGTAACGGCCTCAGTCAGGGATCCGACCTTGTACATCTTTATGGAAGCATGTCTTTCAAACCCAAAGCAGTTGGTGGGTTCAGATGCCAACCTTATGGTTAGCAGTCAATTGTTGAACTACATTACCACCAGGGCTCCTCATGGCAGCACTGTTGTTGCTGTTGTGGTTGGGTGCCGTTAGTGAGCCATAGCGACCCGTGCATAATAACAAAAAACTGCATTACCCTGCACCCTCCACACAATTGTTCATGTTCCTGAGCCCACGGGTGCAGCCACTGTGTCGGTCCATCTCATCAATGGCCTTCCTCTGCGGGCCACCCCTCCACTTTACCACACATGATGTCCTTTGTCAGGGATTGGTCTCTCCTGAGAATATGTCCAAAGTATGTAAGAGAAGTCTTGCCTTCCTTGCCTCTAAAGAGAACTCTGGCCTTAATTCCTCCGATACAGATCGGTTTGGGGGCCTACCATCCCTTTCTATATTCTGGAATAGTTTGTGTAGGATTGGTGACAACTCGTCTCTGAATACTTAGCAGAATTCTCCTGTGAAACCATCTGATCCTGGGCTTTTTTTGGTTGGCTGTTCTTGATGACTGTGTTAGTCCAAGTAGACAAGAGACACAAATTCATAGATACTCATAGGTGAATAAGAAAGAGCTTTATATGAAAGAGCAATTGTATATTGAGAAAATATCCCAGCCCAGATCAAGTCTGTAAGTCAGATAATAGCCCATATATTCTATACCAGTCTGTAAATTCCTCTTCAGACTCACACAAACACATGCAATTATGTCAAGTGCAGGAAGATCACAGGCCGAAAGGTAGAAAGTTTTGTGGACCCAGTGTTGGTAGAAGCATCTTAGCATTGACATGGGCCTTTATGTAGCTCCTCCAGCTCAAGGCCCTGGCTGCCATCAGCATAGCTCCATGTGGCTTGTCAACAGGAATGTCTCTCTCTCTCACAGGGAGAGAGAGAGAGAGTCCCACCTCCAGGGAAAAAGACAGGAGTTCCCAGCATGCTCAGAAGAAGACCATGCACACACAGAGGCCTCATTGGCTGTAACTTGATTAACAGGCTAGACTCCTCTTCAGAAGTTGACAGATTATGTAACTGCAATGATCACCTTATCTATTTCTTCTGTTCGTATGGATCTGTTCAACTTTTTCAGGTCCATCTGCATTAATTTGGGTAAAGCATATATTTCTAGGTTGTCCATGGCTTGTAGATTATCAAGTTTGTTGGAATACAATCTTTCCTAATATTATTCTTTATATTTCACTTAGATATCTCTTGTGATGCCACCACTCCATCTCTAAATTGGGATACTTGTGTCTACTCTTCTTTTTCCTTTGTTAAATTTCCTAGCAGTTTGTCAATTTTGTTGATTCTTTCAAAGAACCAATTTCTTATTTTGTTTTCTGCCCATTGTTTTTGCTGTTTTCCAGTTCATTCATTTCTGCTCTAACTTTTACGATTTCTTTTCCTTTGTTGCTGGAGGATTAATGTTGTCCCAGTTCTAATATTAAATTTTTGAAAATCTTCTCTTTTTTTATGTATACATTAATTGCTATAAACTGACCTCTGCTGTCCCTAGGTTTTGATTTGCTGTTTTATCATTCTCCTTTGTTTCCAGAAACCTCCTCATTTCATCTCTTATTTTGGCTAATACCCAGGCTTTTTTGAATAGTGTGTTAGTGAGCCTCCACGTGCTTGTCTTTATGTTTGCCAGAAGAAACCAGCTCCTAGCACAATCACTACGGGTTCGGTAGGCACAATTGTACAGTGATAATAAGTAAATATTATAGTAAAGTGATAGAGAGCATGAGAGATAAAAGAGATATATAGAAATAAATGGAGTCAGACACATTTCATGGTAGCATTGTTCACCTCAGCCCCGCTTGGTAGTCCATGTGGAGGGAGAGAGAAACTTTAATGCTCCCCAAGCTTTTATCCTTTCTGGGGACGTTGGGGACGTGCAAGCCCTCACATTACAGGTGAAGACATGCACCACAGGAAAGGGTTGTGCTATAGGTATTAGTGATGGGAGGGGGTGATCTGGGGACATACACGCAATAGGAAGAGGAGGAATTGGGGGTATACATGTGACAAGATGGGCGGATCCTAGATTTAGGATGGCAGATTAACTTTGGCCTGTTCCTGGGTCTCCATAGGAGCCATTATCAGTAGGATGTGAACTGCGCCCACAGGAACCAAACTAATGAAATGGTCTTAAGCTTCAGAGAGAGGTAATCCATTGTCTCCAGCAGCAGGCAGCAGGCCCACCCCTGTGGTGGGACGAGACAGCAGTCTGGCAGCAACAGTAAGGATCTGACCTCCCCCCACAAGTCCCCTTTTTGTTTTATATATAAAATTCAAAAGCCACATGGGTGACATGGTTATTTTCTATACATTAAAAGCTGTCAAGGCAAAACTTCATGATCCCAACTAATATAGCCAAAAATGCAGGTTTATAGCAGAACATTTTGAATCCAGGCATTGGGGTCAAAGTCCCCTTATACCCATCTTCTATTGAGGAAGGTATGAGAGATTGGATACCACGGCAGGAAGAAATAGAGCCAAATAGGAATGTCTGCTTCTATAGGGAGAATGAATCCACCATGTGCTCATTTTAAGGCAGCACAGCATAAGAGGGAGAAACTGCGGGGAAAAATAGATTACCGCAGGAAAATATACTCGGACTATATCTAACTACCGGAGTGGCGGCTTTCCTACCATGGAACACTGGCCTTCCAGATTCCCTCCATACCTGTCAGGGATTAAGTCCCAGTTTTATTTCCCTTAGTGCTAGTATCCCACATTTCCCCTTTCTCCACTACGTTTAAGATTTAATAGTGT